ACAAACTATTTCATCGTATCGCTGGCCTGCGCCGACATATTGGTGGCGGTGTTCGCCATGACATTCAACGCCTCGGTGGCGATCGCCGGCAAATGGGTGTTCAATGTGTGGGTCTGTGACTTCTGGAACAGTTGCGATGTGCTGTTCAGCACCGCCTCCATAATGCACTTGTCGTGCATATCGTACGACCGATACTATGCCATAATAAAGCCGTTGGACTATCCCATGAAGATCACGTCGAAACGGGTGGGCATAATGATCACGTTCGTGTGGATTCTGGCGGCGCTCATCTCGTATATACCCATCTTCACGGGCCTGTACACGACGGAAGCGTACATGGTCGAGCGGCTCAAACACCCCGATGAGTGCATATGGGAAGTGAACATTCCGTACTCAATCGTGTCGAGCACAGTGTCCTTTTGGCTGCCCTGCGGTTTCATGTTAGCCGCCTATTACCAGATCTATAAGGAGGCCATCAAACAGGAGAAGTTCATCTATAAGTCCCAGCAAATGGCCATCAATACAAACACTAACCATCATAATCATCATCCGAGAAACTCCACCGACGCCACCAACTCTATACAGGTATGAGTTGATTACAGTTTAGTGGTGTAGCCAATTGTGTGGTTATGGGATGTACTATCCGGTGGGTGTTTTTGTATCCACATGGTGTTTTTTATTAGCGCTTAATTGGTTTATTAGTTAGGGTGGGATTTTTTTTGTGTCCATCTTATGGTGTTTTAACTGTAGGTTTGAGTTTGTTTTTTAATTATGAAATTATTTTGTTTATGTTTTGTGTAATTAAATTAGATGGTGGCATTTAATATGTATTTACGAGTTTATAAATATAATATAATGAACTGCACTGTATATACACAGTGTCTACGGTTTTGTGATAAAGGACTTGTCTTGGGTTGAAAGTGATATCAAAGAATTCAAACATAGATGTTTGCATAACATCCTGTTAGTCATTCAATAACAAAATGTGGGAAAATTAATTTCTAAATTCTAAACATTTTTGAACAAGATCATATTTCATCATCAAACTACGGATGTGAATATCTCGAAAACTATATGAGA